TATGAACTCTTTTGTTTTATTGAACACGATATCATTGTATATTCCGAATTTCCGCTTATTACAATTCCATTCCGTCTCTGAGTTCTGTCTTTTGATTTCGTTTCGAGTCCTAGTTCTGGGTCGGACTATTACTGCGCGGAATCCGATACGTATACGAAATGCTAGTCCGAATACGAACCACAACACATGTTCAGACTTACAAGTGATATTTTCTGCAGAATGTATTCGACATGGAATTTGATCCCGTTGTGGATTTACTGCGCCACGTCAGTGCTCCTAAATAATGCCCAAGCTTTTTCTCAAAACGAATTCAAGCAGTTGTGTAACGCAGACGATGATGGGCTAACCACGTCTGCGACTTTTGCTAACGACGGATGAGTCAAAGCCAGTCTCAACGTAGATTGTTCTATGGGACGTGGAATCTCGTACTAAGTCACGCTAACGGTGGTTTACTGTGATGCGGTCAATGAGGGTCAACTTGTTCGTAGAACTGGAACACCAAGTTGTCGAAGGTTGGTGTTACATAAGAACATTTAATTATCGGTGAAGAACTGAAGACTTCCATCACCGTCGTCCGATAACCGGTTAAACAGAGCAAAACAACCTCCAAGACAGATTTCAGAAGTTTTCCAGTTTGTGCGTTAAAATTGCTTGCCAGTAAAGTTATATCACAATGAGTTAAGATGCTCCGAATCCGATTGTTTTATCATTTTACCATCCATATTTTTTATCTTCTTTCTTTTGCACGCACGCACATTCAATGAATCATGCTGAAAATTCATCAATTGCAGATGCATAAATTTTAGCTTGAAAAACGTTACTCTTCTCAAGACAGGTTTACAATCTTTTAGTTCAAAGCTAGCTTCAGAAAGGTTAACCCCCTGTAACCGAAACCTAAACCGATAACCGAACTTTCCGACAAAGTTGAGTTATTCCCATATTTACATACATAAGGGGTTTCATCCAATTAATTCTTCTATAAATGAAAACGAACGGGTAAAGTGAATTGTCTGACCGTCATACCCAGCACTAAATACGACGTATAAATTCAGTTCAGCTCAATTCAATCACTCGTTAACTTCACGCTATGAATGCCGTTCTATACGGTCAGTTTCGTTCATACAAGACGTCAAAAATGACCAAATTTGTGATACCAGGTTGACTATTCACCATGAACCAAATCAGATGGCTTTATATAATCTATTCCATTAGGGCCAAGGTAAACCCTTTTCATCAAATTAAAAGCTAGACGCTCTTATCCTTTATCTAATCGCCTACATGGATAAAACATTATCTGAGTATTACAACCTGTGGGCAAAGTATTTATATTTGTCGTCAACTAAATGTTCCATGAATAACGCAGATGTTTACTTTCAGCACCAGTCACGGTTCCGGTTTCCAGAACCAATAATAACAGTTCAGTTTGTACAATCATTGTGAACACCAATGTCCCATTATTCATAGAGGCTTATAATTCACATATTTTCAGTTTTTTTTTGTTCCATCTACAAAACTGATCTTCCCACAAAAGTGATCCTTATAAAAAAAATTCATACCACATACCCTTTGGAAAAAGTTTGGATAGGCCAGGCACGTGCTGCTGATCAACTGCACTATAACGATAGCCCGATCGCAATTTCCGTCCAACCAGCACAGCGTGTAGACGTGGTGATCGATGTGAATTAAATGGAGATGGCCATGTCAAAGGCACAGTGACCGCCTCATCTTCCAGTGATTCTTTATCAGCCGACCCGTGATCACCGTCATTGCAAGTCCGTACGTGATGCACAGAATCGGCGGACAAATTCTGCGAGGCCAAATCACCCGCATAATCCCATTTCAGAATAGTTTCTTCCATTTTTGATGGAATTGGACCTTCTAAAGTTGACCGGATTCCGTCATCTTGGAAGGGCTCATTTAGCAATACCGACAATCGAGGTGTAACAACGGAAATATCACCACGGGATAAAAGAATTTCCGGTTTCATAATGGCTGAACAGGTTTCAGTGTACTGCTGTGGAAAAAGTTGAAACGAAAGAGAAATATGCGTATTGACATTATACGTGTGGGTGAGACCGGCTAATTTAGTAACCCTTTTCATATAAACAAAACAAACTTATCTCCGCGTGCCCACTCATCATTTGTTCCTAATAAACGATAAGATAATGTAGTTGAAAACAACAAATGACCTTCAAGAAACAACAGAGCATCACAGGGATCAAACTTATTTAGCAAAACAGTGATCATCAAAAATCGAACATTAATCTTGGGTTTCGCTGACCAACAAATAAGATTGATATTCACAAAAGATTAATCAACGTGCTGACCATACTGATCAGAAGAAACGAATGTAATAAAACATCAGTAAGTGTAACTTTTTGCTACGATTTCACGTTCCTAATGGTTATCTGGGAGGGGGGACATCATGGCTGTGTTCATCATCACATACGAAAGAAAAATATAGAATATTGCTTGGATTCCCTAGAGGACAGAAAAATATCGAATTCAGTCTCGCGAGAAAAACGACAGAATTAGACAAGACGAACTCGACCACGGGTCACCTACATCATTTGAACCTTTTGCAATAACTTGATCGGTTCCACACTGAGCGGCCTGATTGGGTTGAAGTTCCTCGGTGTATTGAGTGCGGTGGTTGTCAGCCCCTTGTGAGTCAATCGTTGTCTCACTGCTAAAAGGAGCCGTGAACCGCGATTGCACAACCGGCCGGATGTCTGATGTTAAAGTTTCGCTGGGAAATATTTTCGTCTGAGATTCGTTAGAAATGCTTTTACCCATGGCCGTCGGAATAGGAGACAAAAATGAGGTTTGCTGCAACGAAGAGGACGAAAACATTTTTTCGGTGTACAACAATGAATAATGAAAACATTTTTCACATGAGATATTCACAATCAGTTGAGCCATGTAACTGCCAACCGATTTAATCAAATACTGATGAAAGTAGTCGACACAATTCAGCTCAAACGATCATCAAGTGTACTGCTCATTAGTATATTTCAGTTTATGTTCAATAAATTCCTGAATGGAAGAGAGAAAAAACAATTGATAAATCAATAGGGAATGGACCGAGATGAGAAAGAAAATGATACGAGAGACGATGAATAAGGAAGGTGGATATGCGTACGTCCAACACACCGTCACATTTAATGCCACCTCGAATCACACATTCGGTCGCCTCCATAAATCCCAATCCGGTGTCACAATCTGACTCCCATGAACCACGGTCTCGTTCCGGCTGGCCAGTGAAATAACCGAACTCAACCATTTGGTAATCATCATTTACTTCACGAATATTGAGAAATTTTCTCCGAACACATGTCCCTTATTGACAAATTTGAAACAAACCTCCGTATTTATTCCGAAACTTTATTCGAAATTGGTCTGTCGGAAAGTAGGTAGTTGTGTGATCAGCGTTTATCCATCTGTTTTACTGTTACCCCGGTAAATAAAATAGAAATATAGAGCCCAGCCAATTGTTATAACAACATAAGAAGTGAAAAGCACCCATCAACACTAGCTGCCGGTATTTGAAAATTGCTTAGAGATCGCATCGTTTAAATCTACGAATTAAACTATCAAGCGAAATTTGTAATCTGCTTTATTTTTTGCCCCAACATTAGGTCCTACTCATACCCTACTGATTGGGCAAATCTCATCAATATTTATACATAAAAAAGACGAAAAAAGAGTGAAAGTCCAATGAAAGTTATCAAAAGCTGAACTGAAATGAAGCAATGAATCACAGTGGGGTGCGATAGTGATACTGTGGTAGTGATATAACTGATTACTACGTCCCTTAACTCCTCTTCCTAATTCAAAAATTCGCAAAGACTTGGGACATAAAAATAGTAAACTTATCAGGTACTTCATCGGAAAATCCAGTCCAGAAAGTGTACTATGCACCCCAAAAGGTGAATATTCGGAAAATTGCACCAAATCTAATATGCTTTATGCACTGCTTTGAGTTCATGCCCAGTTATCTGACATTTTTGTACCGATGGTGCAATCAGGAAAACAGGACACATCTTTCGTCGCTTCGGATATATTACAACGGGTTATACAGAATAACTATGTGCGAATGAAATCGATCAACAAGACTAAACTCATTCCACTCCTCGGTCGCTATGACATCAGGATAATGCGTCGCTTCAGATGACTCATTGCCTTGCTTAAATGGGCGTGTCCAAACGCGTAGATCAACGGATAACAGTCAGACTATCTGTCCCAATCCGAGCCATACTCACATCACACCGGCACTTGTGTGTCGAAATCTATCACTAGCATGCTTATCGATGATAGAGTTGCAGCAACCATTAGACTGTATTTTCAAACTCGCTAGATCCATCACGGTCAAAGTGTCCGTCCATAAATGAGAGTATGCTAGTGGTCCTCTATTTCACCTGGCTCACTTTGAATTTTCCTCAGTGTAGACAAATCACAAGGGAAATAAATCAAAATAAGTAGTCCCCTCGCCTATTTAGTCATCACTGAAATGTAATGCTCCCATCGTAGCGCGAATAGTGTTGCCGAAAAAGCAGAAGATCGAACGGTTTATCTAAAGTGTGCAACAATACTTGAGAATCGATTTTTTATCAATCAGTCTGAAAGTGCACTTTTATAATTCCAGCTACATCGTATTAATCTGATAAATAATAACAATAATAATACATAATGTCTTTTTACTTCCTTTTTTATTTATTGAACATACAAATGTACATTCAACACTCATGAAGGGGGGCCTCGGTCATACAAAGCGTCCCCGGGAAGACGGGCGGCGGTGGAGCGGTTCGAATCCGGGACTCATAGGTCACAAGTTGGTGACCTAACCACTTGGACACCACCGCCCATAAGATGGTAAAAAAACAATGAGTTCGATTGACTGTTATTTTTCTTTTAAACATCAACGCGTTGATGACGTGGGCGGAATGTGGAATGACGTATATATATGCGGACAGTATGATAAACAGAACAGCACTATCAAAATGGAATTAGTAGGAATGCGGGTTGGGTGCTCAATACTCACAAACCGGCACAGATGAAGGGTGCTTCTTCAAAACTGAGTAATGACCGGTAAGTCAATAAATCAACCAAAATGATCAAAGAGAACGAGGATAATGAGTTGTGATGAGCTTTTGCTCTTATCATTTTCGATAGTATCATGATACAGTCAGATGTAAGTATTATTGCCTTATGCTGCAAAAACAATGGCAAGATGTACTTATATTGAGAGTAGAGATCAAATACAAGTACCTCTAGGTGCAAGCATTTCGTAATGCGCTCTACGGTCACATTCGTAAAACCTTCGTGTACATAAATGGTGCTGACATGGAAAACATAATGAGTNGGTTTGCTGTTTTTCCCATTAGAATGAGATGGTCGTTGGCTGAACTTTAGGGTATATCTATACTTTGGATCATCTGTTTCTGTAAGCACATCTGTGTATCACGTAAGTCATGGTTTAAAATCTCCTCTCCAGTACACCCACATATGGACCCCAATACGTACACCCAAACAACCAGAGAATTAGTTTTGGACTGACGCTCGCAAGGTTTTATAGGTCTGAATGCCTCTCACGTTGTGTATCAATCCACTTGCGGTTCAGATGGCGCACGAATGGGTCGGACGAGTGGTTGCCTGACACAAAAAGGCAGCACAGCACATAGCACTCATTGAATGACGCAATCAATATTGTTTGTATAACAAAAATCAATAAATACGGCCTCATTGACGAAGAAGTAACTAATGAAAACTGATCATCGAGCTGGAATGACCAATGCAGCCTAAATGACGTGACGCGATTGCACTCAAAAATGCTGGACCTTGGCAAAACAAAATTCAGTATGATACACAAGCTCGCCTTCTCCCTTTCTTCCTTGTGGGGACAGAAACAGCTAACCTGGCGCTAAGTCTAGTCACCTCCCAATAATACTTTGGTATGCTTCTGTTTGATGCTTGCTACCGAAAAGTACATCAAAATGCGACGAGTGAAGAATGTCATGCTGATCATCTAATAGCTAAAGCGCTTGAATCTTATGTTAACTAGGTTTCTCAATTTATCCCACTTGTCTATTTTGTTTAATATTTTATACGTAACAACACTGATGAGATTATATGGAAGAAATTCTTATCGCAGTGCTTGTCTTCTGAATTGCCTGTTCAGATATTGTCTTATTTTCTACATGGTAGCCTAGCCGATACACTAGCGAAAGTTATCACGTTGCCTTTCTTTCTGAATTTCTATACTTTATTCGGTATGATGACCGGTGTACCTATTTAACAGAAATGTAAGCATATAAACCGACACAAGATTTGCAAATAAAAATTTTAGCTTTTAGATTATCAAGCTTGGATTAACCCACTCGATTGCTCATAAGCATCAGGCACTCTTGATGGTTTTGGGTGTGGGTTGTACTCCTTGAGAGATCGGTAATACCCCATGCATTTACATGCGATGGAAATATTTGTGATAACCAACAAAGAGCATTGGACAGCTGTTTCGTCCTGTTTGGGACTCTTCACCACTGCGTACGTTCTGTGTCCCTGTCAGGACCGTGTAGCTCAGGGGTTAGGGTTTGAAGTCCCGACCGGAATGTTTGCGGTTCGAGTCGTGACAGGGACACTAAACCTACACACTGCTGACAAATCCCAAACAGGACGAAACAGCTGTCCTGCGCTCTTTGTCGCTTATCAAAAAACATTTCCATCTCATTTGAACAAATTTCAGCTTTTGATAGGTAAACTGTTGATATCTTGCTGGTTTTGAACTGAAAATTCCATACTGCACAGGGGAATACCTGAGAGTGCTTTCTAAAGCCGGGATAAATCATAAATAATAACAAAACAGTGACACACAGAAAACAGGACTACCTCAGACACTGTTAAATCGGTTTCGAACGAAGATGGGTCAGCATCTCCTTCAGGAGAGTGACGTTTCACGCGACCCATATTCTTCAAAGTTGACGGAATCTCTGGGTGGGGCACAATATTGAATTCCTCGGTGCATTCAAATGGGACAGATGAGCTCGGTGTAGGTGTCAGATCGGGTGAGGGTGAAGCGGTAGGTCTGTTCAGACCAAAACGATGACGCAAAGAGGGGACAGGCAGGTCAGAATGACTGTCACAGCCTTTCCCGTTTGGTAAATCCGTCGCCTAGAACCAATCGACAGAATAGAAATAAAAACCAAATCGAAGCATTAGGAAAATTAAATATACAGATTTGGATATACCGTAAAATACAACTCATTTTGAGTAGCCCTTATTGATTGCTGACTATTGCGCACAGTTGTTGTGGTTCATCAGCCCTGAATGCTGATGACAGTCTGGTTCATGTGAGGGCAGAAATTCATCGTGTTAACCTTCTATCTGATTAAAAAGTCCCCAACAATTTGTTTTGCTTCAGGTTTTTGAGAAATAATGCTTGTCTGTTGCTAGCAATAAATATAAACATCTAACAATTAGCCATTCTTGATTACGAAAATGCAGAGTAGATTACCGGGGGGAAAAGGATGTACGCTTGACTGGATGAAATAAGAATTGCACGTGAAGATCGAGTCTGAAGGATAGTCAGTTCAGATCAACAATATATATCCTACATCATTACTTACAAGTAACCGTGATTATACCGGGAATTAAAAATATGACCTGGTAAACTAAATGGGGACAGTGCATCCGAACGTGCAAGGTGGACCTGACTTGGTAGGAGGCCTTCGATTTTAGACAACAGTTAACATGTTCGGCAATTTATGTGGGACGAACGATGAAACAGTTATCACAAAGGATCAGAGAACATAAACCGGCTTGTCTTAGCACGGGTTGAAAGAAAACTATAACCAGTGCGATTATAGCCCACCTCGCAGATACCGGGCACCAGTCAGACATGGATGCATTTAGAGTCGTTTACAAAGTGTCCCGAGACAAGTTGGAGTATGTGCGGTAACGTCACTTGGCAACGGCAGAAGCTGTAGCAATCAAAATCACGAACCCACCACTGTCAAACAAAAGAAAATAGTTGCCGCACTCCAGTTACCTCAGCCCCGCTCAGACCTACGTGACAATTCAAACCATGGTCTCAATGATGTCGTGATGACACAACATGGCGTGACAAGTCGCGCGTGAAAAAGGTCATCAGAAATTTCCAGAATTGACCTTGGTTACCTCCCTCCCTCCCCCTTTCTCCATTTGCTCCAATCAAACTTGACAGATTTTTTTGTATTTTCACATTTGACCTCAAGGGATCAATCACATTTATTTATACATTATATAAAAACAAACATAAACGTAAATGCATGAAGAAGAAGTTAAGAAAACAAGCTTGATTGCTTTCTTGTTTATCTTTTGATATTCTTATGGGAATCTTCCATGAGTTAACAGATGTTATACTGTATTTTCTCTCGTTACTGTTGGGCCAAAAGAAATGACTACCTCTGAACACGACACCTGGGCAGAGATAAGTTGGCGATTCGGTTCAGATCTAGTGTGAGATGATTGACACAGGGGTTACACCCTTCTTCCATGTGATTGGTCCGGAGTATGAAGACCGCGTGGGACGGTAGATATGCATTACTGGTGACTTCTAATGAGAGCGAAACTTTAGACTGATGCTCTCCAAGAGTATGGTTAACTATAAGAATTTAAGATTATACCCGAAGATGGAGTCCAAAGGATGGTAAGCTCAGATCAACAACATTCATCCGACACTACTACTCTCAAATGTGAGTAAAATGCGAATTTTATAACCTACGGTACATCTCAAAACTCAATCGATCTGTTCATCGGACAGACTGAGAGAAGAGAACCGAAGAGTGGTCGAATTACAATGGTGAATGAAAACATGCACCAACGAGCTCATGCGCTCATTCGAGTAGTGACTTAGATAATCCTTCCACTGACGAATTAATCTCACTCAGATGATGGTGTCCATTGTGAAAAAGCACTCGGAATCACTTCGATCGGTTGTGTTTGTGACGATATCACTATGCATCAATTCAAGAAAACTTGACAGAGAATGGATTTCAATTCAGTTCTGCTTTGAATATTTCGTAATTAAAGGGAATGCTGGTTAGTAAACCACCATCATACTGACTTACAGAGTGTCCAAAAATAATCTCTGTCACGGACATCAACTCAGAGCCAGTAGAGACTGTTTACGTGAAAGTAGTCATTTAACAGCCAGCATTTCTAGTTGGATCCTGGTTGACAGGACTCAACACATAGAGATGCGGTCACAGATACAGTTGAAATACAGGATTTCTATTCATTAGTGCTTAAGTCTATTCGCTTCTGTAATTTAACTGCAATTCGTTTATATTTTCTCGACCTGTTCGCCATAAAATAGTGCTCAGAAAGTTTTCGACGGGCTGTGTGAAGTTGCGGTATAACAGTTCAGACATTCTACACGTGATTCAGTATAATCTGCAGAACCGAAACAGTTTATTGTCCAATTGGTTTCAGGATATCTACGTGGTTTTCAATTCCTGTTCCGAACACAGGTATTCAGAGAAGCTATAACTGAGCTAATATACAACCTTGGGGAATCTATGGGATTCTAAGTGGCTATCTCGGGCCATTTAATTAACACGGGGCCCAATACCACGCCTATACTACTGCGGTGTGTGACTTTTGCAAACACAGTTTGCAAAGCCAATTTGCAAAAATAGACATTAGATCCTCGTGGGGACAGGAATCATATCCACTTACCCTAGATCCTAAAACTGTCCATTGAGAATAAATATGTCTGAAAATATTTTCTTATCTTCAAATTAAGCCACACACCAAATAGCAGATTGGATCATCCCAATGCTAAAATTAAAACAATAAAATTGATTGAGGGAACTAGGAGTAGCGGCCTGGGGAAATCAAAATCATAACGACTAATGGACGAATAAAGTCTCATAACTGAAAGACANCTGGGAAATATTTTCGTCTGAGATTCGTTAGAAATGCTTTTACCCATGGCCGTCGGAATAGGAGACAAAAATGAGGTTTGCTCAGACACTGTCAAATCGGTTTCGAACGAAGATGGGTCAGCATCTCCTTCAGGAGAGTGACGTTTCACGCGACCCATATTCTTCAAAGTTGACGGAATCTCTGGGTGGGGCACAATATTGAATTCCTCGGTGCATTCAAATGGGACAGATGAGCTCGGTGTAGGTGTCAGATCGGATGAGGGTGAAGCGGCAGGTCTGTTCAGACCAAAACGATGACGCAAAGAGGGGACAGGCAGGTCAGAATGACTGTCACAGCCTTTCCCGTTTGGTAAATCCGTCGCCATAACGGAACCAGAACTGGAGGACGTAGAGGGAGAGATAAGATTCAGGTCCGCACCGTTCACGACTAAGGTGGAAGGTATGGTGACAGTTGACTAAGTAGCATCACCCGGATGCGGGATTGATTTTCTAATTTGCAGCTCAGTATTCAAAAGCGATTGACTGTGACTTCGGCTCATCTGATTCTCCACATTTGCATCCGTGCTTAGTGTACATCGACCAGAGGGCAGAGAGTCAGAACAGTGCAGACGCCTGCAAAAAATGCTTCTAAGCACGCACGCACGCACGCAAGCAAGCACATCGCAGGATCGTGCATGCCCATGGCATGGCTAGGACATGACGCATGACACTGATCACATTGTAAACGTGACCGAAGCATTCCGACTGTTGTAGAGAGTTAAGACGAGACGGTCTAGACACGTGCGGTTTTGCATCCTAGCCACAGCGGAGGCAGTTTCCATCCGTTTTGCACAACCCCCCTCTGTGTGCTCAGAA